TAAATTATCAAAATACGAAGAGTGCCAAGGTCACGAACTTCAATTTTTATTAATTAGCGTGACGTACGGGACATAACATTTTTATTTTTGTATCTCATTTGAATTATTTGTTTAAAATTAAATATCTCAGGACATGTAGACCATCATGCTAGAAAATAGGAAAAAAATATAAAAACTTTCAAAATTAATTAATTATGCAAATGAGGTAGGTTCCAAAGTGTGATGTCCCGTACGTCACAATTTGATCATAATTTGTTTAATTTTAATTATGAAAATAATTTTTTTTTTTAAAGATATTTTAGGAAGTTCTAATTTAGATGAATACCTAACAAAAAATAGGTTTAACAAAAATTACAAAAATTCTGTGTTGATTACATAATCAAATTAAGAAATGTGACGTACAGGACAACCCCATACAAAACCAATGCAAGATGTGAAAAAGGAAATGACCAAAAGGAGAATACATACTGTGTGAGGAAACTTGTTGTATACAGGATATATGAACATTCTAACTGGGTCCCTTCTAGGAATTTACTTGTTTGTACTGAATTTGATGTAATTAGTCTTCAAGCCAGACCCCTGGTATTATCAACTTTGGTATTTTGCCAGTTGATGTCCCCAACATTGGCAGGATGCTAGATATGTAAATCATAATAGTGTACTAGTTCCTGGAATGAGTCTAATGAAATTATATGGTAGTAGATGCACCATAAGCTGGCTTTTACAACTCATGGATGCTGCAGGTAAGAATAGCACATGTATGGTATCAAGCTCTCGATTTATGTGAGGTTTTTTTGATATTCTATTTAAATGTCATATGATGGTAAAGGATTACAGCATACACTGTACCGGTACATGTTATGGAGCCAGCTCGGGAAATCTGATCTCCTAAAAACTACATGTAAATCATAACTTTTAAGGAAGGATAGCCTTTTTGAGTACCTTGTATTTCACACTCTCGCCCACTTAGGATTTTTATCACTTTTACACCCATGCATTTTTGTTGATTTCGCTTTAATCTTTTTATTTGTGGAAAAGGTCCCACAAACATTTAGGTTTTTAATTTCTTATATCTGGTGGTGTTAATAAGATGTCTTTAATCAATACGAAATACATTCAAGATTTATATTTTTGTATCCATCTTTCACAAACATGTAGGCTACATTAATGTACAATGTACATCCAAATTCTTGAATATATGACAGCAACATACATGTTCTAATCTGTGATAAAATTTTTTTAAAAAGACAATATGTTCAGCATTATCTTTGAATTCCTTCAAAATTCTATTTACTAGTATCAAGTAATTCAAACGAAAAGACTTCATATTTGTAATGTATCTTTGTTCACAAACACTTAGAGCATAAATGTTCTTTGACAAAATATGATGTGCCGAGTGTGCCCCTGTGTTTCAAACAAGTTTAAATAAAAGTTTTCAAGTTCAAGTTCATCTTCTTCATTAATTATTATTTAAAAACATTTTGCAATGTTGAATGGAATGGATAAAAGAAATGAGAAAAGAAGCATGACTGCACATGAATAGATGGGTAAATGGAATAAAATGGTAATATAGTGTGTATGAATGACATTCAATTTTTTTTCTTTGTTAAAGTAATATTTGTATTGATTTACCTCATAAATTATCACAGAGGATATTAAGTGATGGTCAGAGGATCTAATTGGGTTCTGAAACACTCTAATTGTCACTGATTCAAGTTGAAATTGTTCACATTTAACAAATTTTGACGAAAATTCTTCATTTCAGTGCATTTTCCCATAGGGAAAAGTTGTCCCGTACGTCATGTGTCCTGTACTTCACATATACACATTTATGTTTTGGTATATTACATAACAACGAAAGGTCAGAAAAATATGCAAATAGTTGTGATTAATGCTTGATTCCATAATGAATTAAGATATCATTACCATAAATCTCATAACTTAATAAATTCAGAGAACTTTTATGATGAACTTATTTTTGAAAAAGTCAGAAATTCTCTGGTCCCGTACGTCACACAGCACATTAATTACATTAAAAATTAATTTATGAATTGGTGAGAACTAAAACTTTTCACAAATGAACTAGCCCATAATAGCCACAGACTTATACCAAAAGACATATAAATAATGTCATCCATTGTTATTTCTTGTTTAAAGTCTGTGAATGTCCCGTACGTCACAAAGCAAATAGCTTGGACCTGCCCAAGAACATAAATTTTCCTACATGGATCTTGTCTTTTTTATGTACTCTAATTTGAAGCAATAAACTTTAATTATACAAAAACAAACAATAGCCATATAGATGGTTGTAGAAAATTGTATACATCCTAAAGCCAATACTCAGAATTTAAAAACAAAATCAATATATGTTTCCTCAAAATTCTGAGATGAGGAGTGGGCAATCTGAATGAATAAATATCCATCTCTAGGCATGTTTTCATCAGACCAAAGTTGCAAAATAACCGGCTATTTTCAGACTCTAAATATTTTCCTGAAGCTCGAAATTGCGTCTTCACCAGACCGATGCGCTCATCACAAAACTAGCTCCGACGGGCGCAAATTAGCCCGCTATTTCCCAATTACAGGGGCTATTTTGGAAACAATACCAAGATTTCTCAGGATATTTTCTTGACCAAATAGCCCGCTCATTGCAACTGTGGGCTGGTGGAGACGCAAGTTAGCTGGCTAATTTGAGATCGGGCTAGTTAAAATAGCCGGTTATTTTGAACTTTGTACTTTGGTCTGATGAAAACAGGCCTAATATTGACGTTGACTTCCTCTTCAAATGTGTACTAACAGGGAGGCATGCACCGTGTTTGTGGCGCAATATAATATATTGGTGCGTACAGTATACATATTTGAAGCCCAAAATATAATGATATGGGACATTAGAGACGGAGGGAGATTAAAGTTGATTGGGAGGCAAACAACGCCGGGCCTTTGTCAATGATTCTTAACAACGGGTATTTTTTTTTCTTTAGCCCTCATCAGGAGGGGTCACACGCTGCCAATTACAGTGCACTATATTTTTTTCTATTGTAGATTGCAAATGCAGGAAAGTGGTGAGCTAATGCCAGAAGGCATATTTTCCAAAACCCTCGCCTTCCACCACCTGCAGTGTATGCCTCTCTTTTTATCTCTCTCTCTCTCTCTCTCTCTCTCTCTCCCTCCCTCTCTCTCTCTCTATTATCTCTGTCACTTCCTCCCTCTTTCCTGTTCCATTTACCCCCCCCCCCCCTCCTCTCTCTCTCTCTTCTCCCTCTCTCTCCCTTTCTCTCTCCTCTCCCTTTCTCTCTCTCTCCTTCTCTCCCTTTCTCTCTCTCCTTCTCTCTCTCTCTCTCCTTCTCTCTCTCCTTCTCTCCCTTTCCTTCTCTCTCTCCTCTCTCTCTCTCCTTCTCTCTCTTTCTCTCTCCTTCTCTCTCTCCTTGTCTCTCCTTCTCTCTCTCTCTCTTTCACTCACTCGCTCTCACTCCCCCTTCCTTTATGATCCTACCACTGTTCCCCCTTGCCCCACAACTCTCTTTATTTCTCTCTCTCTCTCACCCCATTTGTTTGTTTCTTTTTTTAAAGGGGAAGTCCACCCTGAAATAAAGTTAGTTTTAATAGGAGTAGAAAAATGAGAGAAACAAGTCAGTGAAAGTTTGAGCAAATTCCGATTAAAAATAAGGAAGTTAGGATTTTTGAAGTTGTGATCAATCAAACACAAATTGGCAACTCTATGACGTATCATGCGAGCTCAACTTCCATTTGTTCAGTACTAAAAAAATCTAAAATTTTCATTTTCCCTCAAGAAAAATTTCAACCATACATGCACCCTAAATATAATAATTGCAAATATGTTTCTATACTCCCCCTGCAAGGAACAAATATATATTCCGTCATCAATAACGAAGAAAACTTGATTTTATGGAATATTATGCACAAAGCAAATGAAGGAGAGCTCGTATAATAAGTCACAGAGTTGCCAATTTGTATTTGATTGATCACAACTTCAATAATTCATAACTTTCTTATTTTCATTCAGAATTTGCTCAAACTTTCACTCACCTGATTTTCTTATTATTCTGCCTCTATCGAAACAAACTTATTTTGGGGGTGGACTTTCCCTTTAATTTCAAGATTGCAGTCTCCTATCTCTTATGTACTGTACATAAAGTAGTTGTGATTGATATCAACCCTTTCTGCGGACGAGCTCTCTCTCAGTTCAATTATTAACCAGATAATTTCTATTAATGGCTGTAGTGAGGGTGCATGTTTTCTCTGCTTTCTTTATTTGTTATGATGGTGCACTTGAAGATAAGGCTGAAGCTATTGCTGACATCTAATTTGCTATGACTTTTGCCATAAAGATAAATAATGAAGCTTACCGTATAAGGGACAGCCTGGAAAACATCATTTTAATATAAAAATATTTCTTATAAATCATCATCTCTTCAGCAACATCAAACAGACCTTTTTATGAGACCATCCTATGAAAGAATTCGTGAAATGCATACATTCTTCAAAGAGAATTAATAGGTTCAATAGTAATCAAGATTTTTTGTGATCTCCTAAACAAAGAAAAACCTGATTCCAAGTATACTCACAAGTTTAAAGTAATCACTAACGTCATACAAAGCTGTTGTGATTATTGTTGTTTTTATTATTGTAGTTATTATTATAATTAATTTTTATCATCATTATTATCATTATTTGTTTAGATGCTGCTTACAAGTATCAGCTTGCATTTTAATGTTGATATACAGTAGGATTGCTGTCCACCATGGTGCAACTGCAAGCCTACTGTATATTATTAATAATGTTGTTATTAATATTATTATTATTGCTATTATTATAAATATCATTATTAATATTACTATCATTATTGTTATCGTTATTATTATCATTGTTGTTGTTATCGTTATTATTATTATTGTTGTTGTTATTATTGTTCTTATTATTATTATTGTTTTTTGTTTAATATTATTAATGTTATTATTGTTATTGTTATCATTATTTAGGTTCTGAGGCAACAGAGGGAGTGACATCTTTTTCTGACTGTGTACTTGGATCAGGAACCCTTGGGATCAACGGATCAAAGGGTAAGCTTGTTTACTATAAAACTACTAAGATCGTATATTTCCTTAATTAAGGCTTGTTCAGATATTTTTCGTGTAAAAGAGTGACAACTGCACAAAAGCAAGGTCCTACGTATTCACTTATCTCATATTAAATGGGGTGTAGCATGGCAAAAACTGGTTAACGCCATCTACGACTTCTTTTGGACAACTGCACGTAAACGAATGGACTTGATTAACGGTCAGCACGCGCCCCGGTCTCCCCACTTCGTGATCGGAGGTACAGAGCTGCCAACTAGTACGGATTTTCCGTAATTGGTACGGAAATTAACGACCATTACGGAATGTTGTCTCAAATTACGGATTTAAAAAAAAAAAAAAAAAAAAAAGATTTTTTTTTTTTTTTTTAATGAATTAAATATGATTTATCGTAGCGAGTGCTGTGAATAGGAGCCATTTTTCATGATAAACTGTGTTGTGATGACCTGAAATTCAATACTTAACATCTTTGTGTGAGTAAAATCACCAAAAATTTCAGATAATCATGCGTCCGCGCAGTGTTGGCGTGTCGTTTTTTTAGATTCATAGCGCCGCATAAGAAATTACTGATTTATACCCCAAATTACTGATTTTGAGCCTTGTGATTACTGATTTTCTGTTCTGGAGGTTGGCAGCTCTGGAGGTATACCATGCGTGTTACCAAAGTCCGGCTCGTAGTACACAAAAGCCTGTTTTACACACCGGACTTAGGGGGTGTTTTCAAAAGGAGGGAACATGCATATGCGTACCCTAAATGACACTGAGTGGGGGGGCCGGGGCACGCGCTAGCATTCGCGAAACAGATCGAAGTTTTCCTCACGCTTTGGTTTCGAGTATCTTGCACGCACGTGAATACTGCAGTCGCGTTGTCCGTTGTCGTATTATACCCTATTGGCCCCAAGTCGGGCCACGGGAAAGACGAACATGTAGTCTCGTCATGCTACACCCCCTTTAAGAAATGATTTTTTTTGTTGATGAAATAAACATGTGGAGTACATTGCACAGAATCGCTTAATTACATGGATTCATTATTCATGCCTAATATTATCATTCCTGTCATTTTTGTAGTTACCCCTGTATTTGCAAAGAGGCCACGTCCCTAAAGATGGAACAGGAACAGGTCACGGTTTTGAAGCTATCCGTCGATGAGACGAAAGGCCTGAAAGAGGGTATCAACCTCATCAATCGCTCCGAGAACGAGAAGTACGTCATCTACAGGGAACCAGGTAGCGACGAGTTCAAGGCTTGCCGTAACAAGTGTAAACATCAGGGTGGGACCTTCATCAAGGACATCGAGGACACGGCGGGATGGTAAGGCGTTCGATTCGTTCAAACAGAACCTTTGTACAATCAAACCTGCTTTAGTGACCACCTGTCTACAAAGACCATCTGTCTACAAAGGCCACATTTGTTGTTTCCCTTGAAAATGGCTTCTCACTGAATCATGTATTAAAGGAACCTGTCTACAAAGACCACCTGTCTACAAAGGCCACTTTTTGTGTTATCCCTTGGGCGGTCGCTAAAGACAGGTTTGACTGTATTAACAAGTTCATTTGTATGAGAGCAGAAGAAAAACAGAATGACGGAAGTTTGAAATTAGTATTAGACCAATGATAGAAGAGCCATGAATTTTTGAAATATGAGACCACTAAATCTATGCGAATCACAAATTGGCAATGTAGTCAGTGAATTGGGACATAGTCATGGACAACTTTCCCATTTGTTGTGTATACAAATAAAATTACTTTCTGTTTTTCTTTAACTTGAGTGCCTACTCCCTTGGACGGTATTATGGATATCATACATGTACATGTAGGTCCTATGAAAAGAAGAAGAAAAAAAATTCCTGAGTCGTACATTTTAGTCATTTTATGCGTTAAAACAATTGGGAAAGTTGTCCGACACTTTGCAGTGACATTACCAGTTCAGCCAACTTGAAGTGATTTCCCACACGTTTAGTTAAATAACAACATTAAAATTGTCATAACTTCTAATGTTTTGTCCAATTTCATTCAAACTCTTGTGCAAGATCATTTGTTAATCAAACTGATGAAAAGTTTTTATAAGGGTTAACCAAAAATGTTTACATTACATCTACATTGTAGTTCTGTACCTTTATCCATTTTGGTGTAGTGTTTAATAATTGTAATTTGCTTTTGGTTTTAGGTTTTTTGTTCATTCGTTTTGTCTGTTTTCTGTTTGTTTGTTTTCTGTTTGTTTGTTCTTTTGTATGACTTATGTATTTGAGGCAATTTACCGTGTCATATCGAATAAGACTCAAAGGGTAACTATTGAGACTTGTAAGATAACAATTTGTGGTCTATTACAGACGGTCAAGAAATTATACGGGTAAGTTTACTTGATGTACTCCTGTACATGTACATGTATGTACAAGATCATGTGGAATTCTATCCATGATTTCCTGGAATTGTAAGGTACACTACAATATATACTAACTCAACGTATAATTATATATCATAACAATGATTAACACACCGTCTCTCATAGGAGATTCAATTCAGTCCAATTTCAAAGTTTATTCAACACTCTTCATAAAAACACAAAACATACAATTACAGAAGGGGATGATAACAAAAGAACAAGATAGTGATAAAAATCAAAATGGCAATTCGTGAGAGCTTTTGGGATAGGCAGAAAGGAGGGATTCCTCATGCGAAAGCCTACCCCTAAACAAACACATACAGGGAGAAAAAAGAACATGCTATCCTGTACAATTAGAGTAAAAAACACAAAGTGTCAAAGTTGCCCATGCTATTCTACTTATTATCATACTTATTTAACAGAAATTGTTTATATTTCATTTTGAAAAGATTGAGAGTTTTGCATTTCTAATTTCCAGAGGTATACTATTCCATATTACTGTTCCCTTTAAAAAATAGTGAATTTTTCATACCTTTTTACATGTACAATGTACATGTCGTTCTTATTATGGGATGTGATAATTTAGGGCATTTCTAGTAAATGCACATTTCAATTCAAATTAAAACATATTGATAAAAAATGTTGGCAAATGACCATTAAAACATAAAAAGTTGTCAAATTACCATTAAAAAAGCATATCTATTACATTAAAAAACTCCCAAGTTTATAAAATATAGGATTACAATGAGCATGATATAGAGTGGTGAAGTGTGACGTCATCAAAAATCTCATTTTAGAATTTCTCAATTTTTTCTTCATTTTCCGAAAGAGCATACAAAATAATGTCCAAATGTCGAAAACCAATTGAAAATGTTAAGTATTGGCTGAGATATGACCATCTGAATAAATATATGTCCTATGGGAACTCAGTGTTATACCTGTATGCTCTGGCTCCTAGTGGTTAGGAGCCAGAGCATATTTTATTACACATCACATATATATATATACTCATGGCACTTCAATTTATGATTAATTACATTACCTAAAAACTTCAGGTTTACGTTTAAATTTATGGTCATTTACTTTTTAATGAATGTTGTTATAATCAATATTTTTAATTTTTAAAAACAATATACTTAGTTTTATTTTTAATTTAAAACTAACTTATTATATAAGGGTTATTTATCTGCCTCCTAATCAACCAGTGCAATCGTTTTTAGATATTTTAGAAGATATTTTGAATGTTGTACATAAGGAAAATAAAGATACAGTGTATATATCTCATGCCTTATGTGCGATTTCAAGATTAATTTCAGTATCTAAAAGCGGATATATTGCACTTTAATTCTTATTCACTTATTACGACAATTTATATGAAGGTTACTTGATGTACATGTACATGTATATTGTACTTTAGAATGAGAATTAAAAATGTTTAACCATGAATTAAATTCCTTGGACATATAACAATAACCTTTTACCGGTAGTCCTAAGTCTTCATCCTCCCCTGTAGTACCTGGTACTCAATAACTGATGTATTTCTTGTGGTTCCATAACAATTTATATTTCACATTTATTGCTATCATTATCTCAGGCATTTTGACATGAGAAATAAAGAGATAAGAGATGGACATGTACATGAAACCAGATGATTTAAAAACATGCAAATCTAAGGTTACCAAACCACTTTCTGTTTCGCATACATGTATTTTGAGTGAATTCTTCTTGTTAAATCCTCCCTCTCTCTCTCACATGGTGCACCCACAATCCTACTGTATTTCTTCTGTTAATTGTTTTGTTGTTTGTACCTTGCACTAACGCAATAATCCTGCCATCGATTGACCATGCTAACAGGGCTTTGCTCTTTAGGTTACTGCATTCTTTGAATGCCCCCCATAGCAGCGTTCGGTTTGCCAAGGTGAGGTCTTCAAAGATACTTTATGCGCGGCTTTTTCTCCATTTTTTTTTGCTATGGATTCTATGGAAGACAAGTCGGGAGTCTCTACCCCAGCCTCCCCCCCCCCCCATAAATTGACATAACAGCTTTCAAAATAGGCCTATATAGAAAATATGAAAGTATTTAGTGCATCCATAAAAGCCAATAAGGCTTGACAATTGAATGCACCAGGCGCAGAGTTAATAATAACATATACTTGGATGAAGACAAAAAAAATGAAAAAAAAAGAGAAATATTTAGTATTAGAGGTGTGGTCTTAAAATAAATTATGCATTATAAAGAGAGAGAACAAGCTCAGTAATAAGCTTTTTTTTCTTCTTCAAAATATGAAAGGGTGGAAAATTAGATTAATTATTGCCAATTCGAGGAGAGAAAAATGATTAATTTAGAAGGAAAAAAAAAGACCCAGTTTCATCACTATACACAGAAGTTTGAATACATTATTGCATTGTTGCTGTTCTATTTACCATTGATGTGTTGTCAAAAGATATGGCATTGATGGATGAAGTGTTAAGAGAAGTGGAAAATAAGAGATAAACAAGTATTATGTTGAGTAATGGTCTTGTCTCAAAAGCTGTTGGCTAAGGCTGACTGTGTATTTAAAGTACAGCATATATGATAAATACTGTGTGGCTGTGTAGTTTGTAATGGTTAAAGCTTATCTGCCGTAGTTTACAGGAGGGATTAAACCGCTCTACAAGGTCATTGGACAGGTGGTTATCTCATCAACTCAGCTCTCAGTTAACATAAGAAAAAGAGGATTATGGGGGACCAATGGTCACCGATTAGGCATTGTTTGTTATATAGACGGCGCAAGTAGCTACCAGTAGTGCAGTGGGCCTTTAAAATGAAATGAAATTGATTACATGTAGATCATGCTGAAAATCATGTGCACATACAATGTAATGCACACAGAAATGGGTGTTTAGGATAACACACATTTAGCTTGACCTTTTGATCCCCACTTTTCAGCTATTTCTTATCATATTTCTCATCACATATTTATTTGAAAACATGAGTGCATTTAAAGCCCCACTGTACTACTTGTAGCTACTTGCACCCTCTATATAGCAAACCAAACCTAATCAGTGACCACTGGTCCCCCATGATCCTTTTTTTCTTATGTTAATTGAGAGCTGATTTGATGAGATAATCAACTGTCAGTGACCATGCTGGGTGATCTAATTCCTTTTGGCCAAACTAGTGCAGACGGGCTTTAATAGAAGAGCCATCCCTTTTAAAGGGCAATCCCACCCTTGTAATAAGTTGATTTTAATGAAAGCAAACAAATATTACAGAACTGAGTGGAAAAAGTTTGAAATGAATCGAACCAACAGTGAGGACTTGGATAACTCTCCCATTTGCTGTATAAAAAAATATCATTGTTTATCTTGTAAGTTCCTTCTCCCTTGGGGCACTGCTCAAAATACATGTATAATATAGATATCATATTATTATACATGTTGGTCCTCTAAAAAGAATAGACCCTCCTGAGCGATATATTTTTGAAAAATTTAAATTTTAGTCATTTTATGTGTTGGAAACAGATGGGAAAGTAGTCCGGCACTACATCACATTGACATTACCGCTTAAGCCAATTTGAAGTGCCCATACGTATAGTGATTACAACTATAACTTTCTCATATTTAGTCAGATTTAATTGAAACTTTCCTTAGTTTGCTTCTTTGATTTTTCTGCTTTCTTTTTAGTAGAGTACTGTAGTCGTCTATTTGGGTTGGATTTCCCTTTAACTTTCGGGGGAATTTTTCAGTTTTTCTACCCTGATCGTATTCTTTCGGACAGCACACAGAGAGTAAGAAAGCTCATTGTTCCTCCTCTGTCACGCAAGAAGTGCCTACATGCCTCAACGCTGGTGCATTGTGCTGACACGAAATGGCAATATTTGCACAATTAAATTCATAGTTTTCGTTGTGTTAACTTTGCTCTTGCTGCCTTAGAACTGTGCCCAAAC